GCCCTGCTTCCCGCGGCCGGACATGTTCGTTCGCTCACTTCCAAGAGCAACCAGTAGCACAACAAAGCCGGAGCTCTTCAGCTATAACCTCGCTCTCCCGCCTCGCCCCTTCGCTGATAGGCTGAGAAGTAGGTCTCATATGAACAACCAATGAGGAGAAGAATCGAATTCTGACCACTAAAAAACGGGTAAAGAGGCGTTATGACGAACTGTGGTGTTCTGACCAATGAAAGAACACAGAAGGAATCCTATTCATTTGCATAAGGTACCTATAAATAAGTGGCACACGGCCCTGTCTTTTCACTCTTGCTGTTCGCTGCTTGAGGTTACTGGGAGACACGGTTTTGCTGCGATGCCTGAGCCGGCCAAGTCCGCCCCCGCGCCCAAGAAGGGCTCCAAGAAAGCCGTCACCAAGACGCAGAAGAAGGGCGACAAGAAGCGCAAGAAGAGCCGCAAGGAGAGCTACTCGATCTACGTGTACAAGGTGCTGAAGCAGGTGCACCCCGACACCGGCATCTCGTCCAAGGCCATGGGCATCATGAACTCGTTCGTCAACGACATCTTCGAGCGCATCGCCGGCGAGGCCTCTCGCCTGGCGCACTACAACAAGCGCTCCACCATCACCTCGCGGGAGATCCAGACGGCCGTGCGGCTCCTGCTGCCCGGCGAGCTGGCCAAGCACGCCGTGCCCGAGTGCACCAAGGCGTTCACCAAGTACACCAGCTCCAAGTAGAGCGTCCCGAGCGTCAGTTTGAACCCAAAGGCTCTTTTAAGAGCCACCACTTTATCAATGAAAGGGCTGTGCAGTCACACATGAAAAAAACTTTATTCTCGTGAGTTCTTCTATCTCAGTAATTAAAAGTCCCCTAAAAGCAGGGTTTTTTTATATGCTCTTCTCTGACTTTCTATTGAGGAACGTAAAATTGTTTCAGGCAAAGGAATGGCTTGTAATCGAAGGTTTCATGACAAGGGTTTTTGTGTTGGTGATACTGTTCCTCAATTTATAGTTCATTGTTCTTCTCAAGACTGTGGTATGTATATTTGTTATACGATACAGCACTCTTAATTCTATAGTTATGTGATATAGTGAATTGAAATAAAGAAAAGCTGCAGTTTTCTACTCCGGAAATAACTAGTCATAGAAACTTTCCGTGTACGTTGTTATAACCGCTATAACAACATATACCACTTGATGGTGCTCGGTGTCTTTGTTCTGTTTTTCTAGCAAAGTGGAGCGTCTAAGAGTGGACTACTGTTAAAGAATTTATGCAGTAGTAGGTGATGTTTTTCTTAAGCTTATCTCAGTGATTAATATAGCACAGAACTTCTTTCTAAAAGTTAATCTTGAGCATTTTTTTTTTTATAATTCTATCATGCACATGACTTACAGGAACTTGTACAGCTTCTCCCTCGACTGTTCTCTTTTATACTAAAAACACAAAGTGAAGATGAGTATTTCTCTCTGACCTTTCCTATATTTATATGTCATCAATTGTATGAAAGCTCTTTAAAAAGTAAGCAATTAGCCACTGTGGGCTGACTTCGTAAGCTATCAGAGTTTGTCTGTGATGCTACTGATGCTATCAGCCCTAAAGCCTTTCAGCCTCAAACTGCAGGCTTTCTGAATCCATCACATTCTTGGGTAATTAGGTACTGCTGTAGATGCAGGTCAAAGCCATTATCACCTTCTCTCGAACTGGATTTGAACAATCCTGAATTCCAAGCACTTTCTGTGGACTTCTGATTGCACTCGGTTCACACAGAGACCACAGAATCACAGTCACATTTTCTAGTACATGATGTTTTTTGGTGCAGGTGCAGAGGCAGGCACAGGGTACCTCTTACACCTGTCACCGATTTATTAATTTCAACTTGAAGGCTGATGGGGACCTCTTAGCTTGGATTTCGGATGTGCGGTGGGAAGGAGCATCTTCCATTCTCCAGCAGCTTCAAATGGACTTTAAATATCTGCTCTCCAAGTGCTTTTGTGCAAACTCTAAAACATAGTTTGCATATTCTGTGCTTCTGTGTATGTCTAATATCTGAAAAAGAATAATAAATGGTATATTCCAGATTCTAGGTTTTTTTGTAAGGGGATGTCTGGGTCTGTAGGAAGGGACTCCAGAAAATATATACTAAAAGTGCTCATATTTTGACATGATTGATCATGACCATTAGAATTTGTCAGTGGCTATTATTATTTGGTCAGTCACATAAAAGTCAAATTCAGTTATGTTTTCCTAAAACTCAATACTCTAGTTCAAACTATGACTATCACAGGGGCAGCCCTGTTGCCTGAGTTGAAGTAGGAGCTCAGTAGTACCTTTTTGCCTCCCAGCTTAGCATTCTTTTTGCCTTTCCTGTCTTCACATGCTCCATGCTGCACACTTCATTAACGTGGCTTTCACAGAAATTACAAGAGATAATTAAAAATTTAAAAAAAAAAAAAAAAGAATGTTTCAGTATGTAAAGTTGTTTCTAGGTTCACAAAACTCTTCAGAGAAAAGAAAATTTTGCTCATGATTCATTCTTCCAATCTCGGTGTGAATGATAAGGCAGTATTAGGGGGCTATAGCATCAACATAGCATTTCTACCCGCACACACTTGTTGTCAGATCTGATTCTAACACATTCATGTTTTTTTCATCAGTGCTGAGGCAAATATTTCTGAAACCCAAACAACTACTGTGGGAAAATTTTCTGTACTTGTTCTTTTTATGAGAGGTGATACTGGCTCAGCAAGAATAACAAACATAACAATTTCATCCCACAGGAGGATGAACATTCAAAATTAATATGCCAAATATTGTGAATATAAAATCATATGACAGCACATTCTTCTGTCTTTCATGCTCTTTCCTGTCCAGTTCAAAGCAGTTCTATTTGTATTCTTAAATCTACTCTACCCACATGACATGACCCAGCAACAGCGTGATGTCCAAGTGTTCAAATAAATTATCCTGCTGTAGCAGGAATTATGGTCCCAGCACCGTGTCCATGGTAAGAATTATGTGTTTGCCATCTCAACAGGGCTTGGCCCTAGGTTCCTGCTCAAAGACGACAAGTCTCCTATCTGCTGTGTAAGTAAGTGGTTTATTTATCTGACATGGAGAGCAGCCGAAGCTGGGTCCCTCCAAAGAGGGGACCCCTTCCCCAGATCGCTCCACCCAATTAGACCCATACCACCCAGCACCGTATCCCCAAGTCCAATCTCTTAGTTCTGGTCGGTGCTCTCTTTTCTTAGTGGATTCCTTGGTTGCTGGGCTGGCTGCCTTCTGAAGTTACCTCGTTCTATTTGAGTTGTTTCTTTGGTCCTTACCTTCTTCACTCTGATTGCATCTGCTGGTTTCAGATCTGCTGTGCTAGCAGCCTTAGTTATATCACATCTACTCTTGGTCAGCTCTTGTGGCCTAAGGCTTCAACTAGTCTAGATACTAGTGCTAAGTATGGCTATTAATGTTAACAATTCTCAACACAAGAAGTGCTAGAATACTCTCCGATAATTTAAACAGGTCCTTTGTGCAGTATTTTAACCTACTTATCTTCAAAATACCTCTATCTCCCAAATGCCTCTTTATTAATTGTAACTGAACTGTTGGGTTTTTTTTTAAAGTGATTTTGTTTCTGCAAAATTGAAATACACCAGCTGGGTAAACAAATAACTGTAGTCTCTAGTTTACTGACGGAACAGTGAATCAGAAACAAGAAATAGATGCTATACGGTTGACCCAAAACCTGAACAAATACACTTGCTATAGCAATTTTATACTACTTCACGCACTTTCTTTTTTTTTTTAATAGAATAAATCAATATCTACTCAACTGCTTATGAAATTGGTTTTCCTAATCGCCAGAGATTATAATTACTCAACACAGTGCAAATTACTGCTATTTTCGTTTCCCAGATAATTACTTTTCCAGTTTTAATAGGAAATTATATATTTCAAAATATTTAGCATCGAGGGAGAAAGTATTAACTGCAGCTAGGGAAGATTTGGTATTCTGTACACCTTGATGTAATGCTTTGGGCCAGTAATGAAAAGAAAAAAATACACATGGTTCAGGTTTAAAGGAAAAAATCGAGTCCTTGGGCTCCAAAAAGCTGGTCTCAGGGTTGTGTTGTCTCAGAGCACAGCGCAGCTCAAGACATGACACAAATCTCACTGGAGAAGAGGCCTGAAAGTACAGGAGAATGCAGTTGGGAACAACCCTTCTCCCTTCCAGATTATATACCTACACAGAAGGAAGGAGCACTACAGTGTGCAGGGGCAGCTCCTTCCTCTGGGACTGGGGTTGCAGGAACAGAGGCCCATGTAAGTGGAAAAGCTTGTTTAGGTTTTGCTTTGCATTTCTTTGGTGGCTACAAAGAACTAATTATTTGATGGCCTGTCCTGATGGAGTGGTAGTTTCAAAAGCACTCCTTGTCAAAAATTATACTAAGCATTAATCACAAAGCTTCTGTATTTTTTGTCACCAGAAGTAAAAAAAACCAGGAAGCAATTGTAGACATACTTGCATTTTCAAACTAGAAAATAAGTAGCTAGTGTGTGAAAGGAGTATCAGTACAGCTTGGAATTTTCATCACCTGTAAAATCCACAACCTTTTTGCACTTTCAGTCCTACTTGGATTGCATGTAGATTTTGTACCTGAAAGGGTCATAGAAAAATTGAATAAATAGTTGCCACAACAAGAAGAGGGTACACGTGGAGAGTTGCAGCTGAAATCTGGACTTCAGACAGAGTAAAGGATCTTGCACTACCTTTGTGCAACATCAGAGCTATGGAGAAATGCACGCATCTCACGTATGCATCCCCTTCTCCTTCCACAGCAAGTAGCAGCCACTGCAACATCACACAATTTAAATGTGCCACATGATAAAAGTTTTTATGTGCTTGGGACATAGAGAGATTAGTGTCTTTAATCACCCCACTCTAGAAAACAAGACAAGCGTTATAATAGTAATGGCTAGCCCAAATCTTTCTACACATCAAAATACGTTTTTAAATAGGGATGCCTTGTCTTGTGCTCCAAGCGCCACGGACCAGGACTGAGCGCAGAACAGTGTGCTGACTCGGGAAGCTCCAACAGTTTATCTGAACTGGTTCCACCCCCCACATGCAGAGGCTTTTACACTCTGCCTTTTGAAAGCGCTGGTACAAATCCCATGGAAGAAGTGAAGTGGTCACCGGGTTACAATGCATATTTAGCTCCTGGAGTTTCAGCCTTAACTGAAACTTCCAGGTCACTTGAAACCTCTGGGGATGTGTGTGTTGCACTTCAAACTACCAAAGTAGGTTCAAATTGTGCGTTTATTGACCGGGGGCAGAGGGTGGGGTGGGGTGTGGAATCACTCAATGAGGGTTTTTGAAACGTTGATAAAGACAATCAGAGCGATTAACCCTTTTCAAAACACCATGAATGCAGATCAGTCTTTATCTGAAAAAGAAATAGCTTGTTTCTGGATTTGAAAATCCAGGGCCCTGGTCTGCCCTTCCCGAAGATACCTGTCCCTTTTCTTTGTCTTCTCCCCATGCTCCCTCCCTCAGTTCATCCACGATGGTCCCTGGGTCCTTCCTCCCCTTAAGCCAATCGGTCCTTAAATCCTCATCTCCAGCACCGTCATGGGGGACAGGAAAACCTCTGCTTGCTGTGGCCGGACAGACAGCCCCAGAGGGTTTTGTTGTCGCTGGGGAGAGGAGGGGTCCTGGTGGTATTGTAAGAGTAGGATTAACATTCACAAAAACTCTGGACTTCACAACTAGGTGGGCTTGTGTAGTTGATGAAGGGGGGATGGGTGGGGACAGCCCCCGACCTTG